TACTTTTTTTATGAATTCCTATGCAAATGTTCCAACTTAAAAAGTACTTTTTATTGGATGAAAGTATTTTTGTCTTCCTTCGGGCCATTTGGTGGGTGAGCAAGAAATGCACATACAAACATGTGTATACATTCAGTTATTAAATTTGGTTGCATGATAATTTTTGTTTCAATATATTTGATATCATTTATTAATTGTTAACTGTTAAGACATGTAAGAAGACAATAAATCAACTAAACGTGCTTAAAATAGCAAGCATGTACATGAATGTAAGGTATAAAGGTAGTCCATAAACGCATATTTTTGACTCCTCCACAATTTTATATTTATAATATAAACATGGCTTAAAAGCCAACAAAATGTATGTGATGTGAAACATATATATATCAATGATATGGCCTGGCCTGCATGCAACTTTTTGAAAAGTTAAGATACAAACTAAGTGTATTTCCTAAAGTAATCATATTTTATTTTTTTCTTTCAATAAGAGGGTAATGATGACCCTGGATCACTCACCTAAGATAATTGTTGGAAAAAAAGGTTACAAGCTCATTTTGGGAGTGTCAATTATGTCATAACATGCATGATTTGTGTCATAATTGAATCCGGTTGCTTTTAAAGAAACATGCTCAATATCTGCTTTCAATTTTTATTCACACGAGAGGACTTTAATAACCATATTTATATAGGAGTCCATATAAACTTAGTGACCTTTAGTGTTTGGTAAATTTGGACCATGTTGTCCATGATATATCATTATTATAACATAATTATGATGATACATGATTAATGTATATGCGTCGGATACTGTAGGTTAAGAGAAAACAGATTTATTACAGTAGTCTTTGTAAATTAAGTGATACCATTGCAAAACCATTTTAGACTGCAGTAGCATCATACAAATGTATGCATGTTATATAAGTCTACATCCCAAATATCTTATTTCAAGTCAATGAAGTTTAACACTAGATGTTTTTAATGTGTTTTCCTATACAAGTCTGTGAAACCAGGTGGCTCTATGAGCATGATTCATTAAATGTGTTAATAAAGACCCAAGGTGGTGCTACATGCCAGCTTAGTACCTGTGCTCTATGCATTTTGATTTTTGAGAAGATTTTTTATATTGCATGTACACTTAATGATCCAAAAGTGTTTTATGTAACTTTTAAAGAGGTCTTTTTTACTTGGCAAGGTTATATTTTGACTATCTAAGCTCTAGGCATTTCAATTTGTTTGTTTGTTGATTTTTTTTTGATAACAACAACATCAAAACAACTTCAATGCGATTCTCCACACAAGTCTTTAAAAACTGTGTTCCTCTCGAGGGCCTTTAAATCATGCTCATGCAGTCTAAAATGGATTTCCCTGTCACTTAGTTTAAATTGACTTATATATTAAAATTCTTCTCCGAAACTATGTGCACAGAGAAGAGAAAATATCGTATATCATAACATTGTGATGCTATATAAAGATTATGAACTATTGGCATAGGGTCAAAATCGAGTCTTATTGGAATATGGTTATATGAGTCTTCTTGTAGTTCTGAGAGCCTAGTTATTGGACTTGATTCTTTTCAAATAGTTTATAAATCATGACTGGTGAAAAAAAGATGCTCCTTATATGATTTTAGCATTCTTCAGTATAAAAGAATTATAGACCTTTTCCAGCAGTGGGTCTTAGGCGCGTGATCTAGGGTCAACAACTCTCTCTTGTTTAATGGGCAAAATAAAGAAGGAAAACATTTAGTTTATATTTCAAGTCATAAGCTATGTTTGTTATGTGGGTCAAGCGGTTTTATTGATACCTATTTTAGCACACCTAGTCATTAGATAATATTATGTATCAGTCGCCTAAATTTTTGTTTCTTTTGAAAATATCATATCTACATAAGTTATTAGAAATGGACGGTACTAATTCAATTATACTTGGTTACAATGATGTGCAAGTAAATATAACTTTAAATCATTCTGTTACAAGCTTTTAGCAAGACTAAATTGTGCAGGAAATAATTGTATTCATAAATAGACAACATTTACTCAAGTCAAGACATGATTTTATCTAGCATATGGTTCGTTGATGAATAGTCAGTCTTCTTTCTGTACAATTATCAAATTGTATTAAGAATATTTAAACAACTTATATTATGCAAACACATTTAATGACTGAATGTATACATATAGAGGATATTTAAGTTTTTTTCTATAAATACATGATTTATTTTCATTAAGTGGTATGAAAATAAATATTTCATGAGTGGCGGTAGCAACGAGTGAAATATGGTAATTTTCATGCCAAAAGATGAAAATAAATCGTGTATTTATAGAAAAACTTGAATTTTCTGTTTATTATATACATTTTTCTCTTTTTTGACATTAAAATTTGAAAGACTTTCCCTTAAATTTTGTGTACTGGCAGAATTTAAAAGAAAGTAGTCCGACAAGACACCAGTGAAAATACGGGAAATATGTTTCACTGCAGTGAAAAATAATTTTTTACAGTGAAAATACGGAAAATGAAAATATGCATTTTATTTCATCAATATTTCTCAATATTTCATTTATAAGTATATAATAAATGATTGTATCTGCATTTATTGATATTTTAGTACACCCTCTAGACCTGAAGGAAAACAAAAATACCTTAATACAATAAAATACTCTTACAGTGAATATTTGCATAAGAATTCTTAAAAAACGTTATTTTGTACTACAATTGTCTGATATATTTCTCCCACCCACTTTTAATAAGTATAAAACCTTCACATTTTTGTTTGTTTTTGTTACAATTATACAATAAAACATAGTGTTGATTGAATATTAATTACACTTTAAGAAACTATGTAACTTTTGGAATTTTGTACATAGACCTAGAAAACCATGTTAGAGAAAAATGCAAAAAATGGCACTTTTTCTTTGATTTTTTAAAGATTTTTTTTGTACAAAAAAACATGACTAACAATGTGGTTAACATAAAATTTGATTTTTTTTCTAATATATTTCACAATTTTATATGGAAATACGCATACCATGTGCAAAGAATTATACTACAAAAGAGATATATCAGTTTTCATTAAAATTGGCAGCCATATTGGACGCCATCTTGGATTCTGAAGAAATATGCTAGAGAAATTGCTTGAAGATTTAAATTTTTGAAAAGGGGAAACTATATGCATGCTTTGGTGTTAGTTTCAGGTCTGTACAAAAAATTGGAATGAATGAGCTATTATGTACATCAAATTTATATGGCGGCCATCTTGAAAATGGCGACCATCTTGAATGAGCAGAGATATTTTTGGGCCCACTTCACTTTTGAAATCTCCATGGTCTAAAGATAATTTCCTGAAAGTTTCATGCTTGTATCACAATTTGCACTATTTTGACAGCAGAGACCTTATTTCCCGCCCCACTATTACGCAGCCGTAAAAAGTTGCCCCGTTCTTAACTTCAGTGTTGTTTTGTTTCTCTGGTCCTTCAGTATCATTGACTCCAGCACTTTTAAGTGTTGAAAATTGAGTACCGCTCAAGCCGGTGCTAGGGGGCATGAGGGATGTTGCACTTTTTCATTATTTCTCATGTACAGACTTTATTAAAAGATACGTTGCCAATATGTTGTTTCTACATGTGATTTAACTTTTGTGTTTAAAGTGTTCTTTGTCAAACAGAATTACTGTTTTTCAATCAAAGTGTAACGCATTTACTTTGGTTACTTGGCTTACTATCTATAAGTCGAGTAAATCAGCTGTACGGCCGTAATAATGTAGACACTTCCAAGATGGCTGACTGTTGGAAAGGTAAGTGTCTCATTCTTTCAGCTATAACATTATTTCTTGAATATGTCTAGTTTAACATCATTAGTACATGGCGAAAAGGTTGAATCACGGTACCATATATAAATATTTCATTGTCCTTAATGTTTTAAGAGACATTACAATAAACATTGCCAATTGATGAAACTTAAAATAGAATAAAGAATATTGAATTGTTTATATTTGTTTCTAATCGTCAGCTTTATAATTTTAGCATCACTTATTTTTTTTATTTTTTTCAGATGCAGTTTTTCTCAATAATTATCATATTAACATATGTTTGTTTTGTTTCTTTTACAATCATGATTATAAATTCCTTGACCTTAATATTAAAATGAAGTATTCATATCATAATTAGTATTTAATGTTATTCCAAATCACCTGAAAATAAAAAGTTATTGGAATTCTACATTGATACTGGATACAAAATCTACATTATCTCACTAAGACTTAATAACATAATAATTTCCCCCTATTATTTTTATACAAAAAAAAAGGAAAAAAATCAGCTTGTTTTTTTTTTATCATGAAAATATCCTGCATCAAATATAGGAAATAGTGCATGCATTGTCTGATAGTACATATATGTTATAATGTTTTTGTTTATAACTTTTCACAGAAATATATGCATGTCCGTCAGTTGATAAATTAGAGCTAGAATAAAAATAGATTTTTAAAATTGTATCGTATGCTATTTATATATAAATCGTTATTGCATAAAATATTATTTATTAAGCCTCGTTTACTTTCCCCGAGTCCAAGAATTAATTATTCAGTGATGTGTTACTATTTTGTGTTAAATGAAACAAAAAACAAAGAGAAGCATTAAATATTGATTTATTGATTTATTTTCTTCATGTTTTTCTTTAACAAACATATTTTAGATCACAAGAAACCTGTTACAACATAGACAAGATAAATATTGTTTAAATCTGTCCATACAGACTGTGACAAAAATAAATCTCTCATTTCGATAAAGTTTATACTGTCATCAAATAACAGGGGAAATAAAAAGTTTTGGATGCAAGAGCTAGTTAAAAATGATATAAGGTTACAAAATATGTACTACAGAAATACGGCTTCAGATAGTCAAGATGTTAACTACACAAGATGTTTTACATTTTGATTTCCATTTTCATCAATCGGTTAAATATTTTTGTCTTTGACTTTAACAGACTCATTATTAATTGTTTGTAACATATTAACTGTTTTTAATCATGTAAGTAAGCCTTTTTTAAATTAAGTTGGTAATTGGGTTGTCTTGACTTATTACATTTGTAAATACTAACCTAAACAGGCATATATGTTATATGCATATATGCATATATGTTAACATGAATACACCGTAACACAATACAACATTAATACATGTTCCCATTATAAATACAACAGTATTATACGATAAAGTGACATTGCAAAGTTGAAAAAAATATAAAAAATGAAAATAATAAATATTTCTAAAGCCTTTTCAATTACTTTACAATATTTTGAAAGAATTGAATTGGAAAGTGCCAAGCATTCTTACAATTAATTTGGCTTTCGTTATTGATTTAGTCTATAAATTTGTACATATCTGGTCTTCGCTAATATTTGATAAAATATATTTATGTCTCATAAAGTGAATTAATTATATGTGAAAATGATACTCGTCTTCTAAGACATTATACAAATTACATGATCTTTCATTTATTTTCTGATTAAGTCGCCGGTCTTGACCATCGATCTACTTTTATTTGAAGTTTTTGGGGGCAAAACTGAAGCAAAGATTTACAAAATTTACTATTTTATATAATTATTGTAATGAGTTCTTAGCATGATTGAAACATAAATTATAAATAGTTCGATAAAATTATACTTTGCTCGAATTATCTTATCTTTCGTTCAAATTCTTAAGCTGATCATGTGACCTTTGTTTAACTTAAGACAAAAATATATTACTATTACCAAAATTTGTTGCATGCATGCATCATGCATAAATATTATCAGATTTTTTGTATTTAGTTTCATTTGCTTGTACGAAATTTAATCAGTACTTTATGATATTATAATATAGTTCATTCTTAAAATAGAAAAGTCATTATCACCATCTATACAATCATCTTGTGCAGTGTCTTTTTACCCCAAATACTTTCTTTCAAAACATGTAACATACATTTTCAATGGACAAATCATCTGCAGAACTATACTCCTCCATCCATAATTTAAACTTCCTGGAGCTACTTATTCATCAAATAGACTTAATTTATGTATAGACACCGGAATCCAGACTGAGCTTAGGTATACACATTATCATTTCTATACCCAATTTCTCAATATTTGCGTGAACAAATTAACATCAGCTGAATTATGTAATACCGAGGTATTATGTACATTACCTTTTTATGTAATAGGGTAATTTTAACTATAACAAAGAACAGCTTCAGATTGAAATCCTTACAATGATAATGAGCAGTTCAAAATTTTAAACACTAGAAAAGATTGAAATCCTTACAATAATTGTGAACAATACAAACGAGTTGACTGAATCAAATTTACGTTTATCGCTTTAATATATCTATCTTGATCTATGAATATAGTTTTTTAAAAAGCTCTCATTTTCTCAATCGACATTGACTAGGAGATCAATGAATACTTCATTCCCCTGTAATATTGCATTTGCTGTTAACAAATTCAGATTGCAGAATGTCTAGATTGTTCATTGGCAAGTCATGAGTAGTAACAAAAACATTAAACGTATCTGTTACAATCTTGATTAACCCGTTCATGTCAATATCTTCTCCACTACCAACGGCCACAATATTTACTCCGTCGGCTTCCAGTATAGATTTCTCACTTTCAAAGGTGCTTTTGCTGTTCACATGAGCTTTACCATTAGTGAAAATTAGGAGAAATTTCTTTGCAATCCTCAATGAAAATGTATTGTTGAAAATTTTATCCCTGACATATGCAAAAACGGTTTCAAGATGTAATTCTTGATGTTCATCAGGCGACTTTGAGACCATGTTAACCTTACTTTTAATGACATTTTTGTTGAACGTCTCTCCCATATTCATAATACTTTTGATGTCATTAGAAAATGTAGTCACACTAACATGTGTACCATTTAAGTTTAAATGATTCATAGCGTCAATTATATGCATAATGGCGTCTACCATTAAATTGAACTGGTCTGTTGTTATATAATAGGATGAATCTAAAAAGATAGCTACATCAGTCGCCATACTTGTCTCACATTCTGAAAAGATATATAAACTAAAATTAAATATCTAGTCTTTTCTACATGGTAAGCAACAAGAAATCAATTAATACCCGTTATCAAGAAAAACAACCCTATTTTATTGATGGGAACAATATGATGTTTATTCATTAAAAAAATTGTTAAAAAAAACACACACACAACAAAATATATATTTACCATCACACAACTGAACCAGCTGCCTGAGAACGGTGTACAAAGAGTTGAAATTGTTCACAGAGTAAACAAACGATGGATCGGAAGCAATGTCCAAAAGTTCTTGATGTAAAACTTCATTTCCAACTCCTGCGAATAAATATTAATATTGGTTCTATGTACATACATTTTTTGTCAAGAGAATGATCTTATTCAAAACAAGAGGTGTTTTTATATTAGAAAAAGTGTTCTTATCTTTTCTTTTTTTTTCAAAATGCATTTCGTTAAAGACACTAATATGAAAGAGACACCAAGTTAACACATTTTTAAGAATGTGTTAACTTAAAATGTAACAGTTTTGAAATACTTAGTTACTTAAATGTTTCAAAATAATTAATATGTGCACCGATGACAGCAATTGCATCTACTTCATGTTTCAATTTCAATGCTTCAGCTTTAGTATTTGTCTTGTTCGTAGACATGCCGTCTGTTAGGACGTAAACAAATCGTGTAGCCTTTGTACCATTTATACGTCTCTCGATACCATGACTTTCAGTGAATACTTTCGTTCTGACCTGTGAAGAATTATCAGCAATCAAAATGATATAACATTATCACAATGAATTTATGCATTTAAAGAAACACGACATAAACAGATGATGTCACTACTCTCTCATAACACACACATACACAAGTGGATGATTTGTGAAAGGAAAATATTTTGACACATATTTAGAACACTGTTTCCGTTTCTTCTTATGAATAACAGATATGGAACTCTCCCGAAAGCATTGGAAACAAGTTGAGAATTGCAGATTTAGTTATATTTGGTCTTTAAGTCATATTCAATTTAGTCTTTATTATGGACTAGTGTAGCATCTTTCAAGCTTAGATTAAGCGATGTTCTAACATAAAACATAGATTATTGGAATAAATGATCCTCAAAAAGAGGAACACTTATCAATTAACCTCTTAAGGTTTTGTTTTATGACAGTTTGATCCTTTAATAAAGATAAAGAACTGTTCCAGTGTAAATTCATATACATGTATATATTAACTATTTAATCGTTTTAGTCATAATGGATTTACCACTTTCAAGCCTTCTTCAGTGCGGGTTATACCTGGTTTATAGGTTACGTTCTTAATAGCGTCATAAAGTGACGTCTTATTTTCATACTGGTTCAGATAGAACTCAACATGCGCATCACACGAGAATGTAACAACGCTTATTTGTGTGTCGTTGATTCCAATTGGAACAGTATTGCTAAAATTTGCCACAAATTCTAACTGTTTCTTGAATTCTCCCTCTGTCATGCTCACTGATGAATCTAAAACAAAGACGACGTCTGCTGGAGTAGGGTGACAGATATCTGTAAAATATTGACAAAGAATGTCATTATATAGTCATGAGCGCGCGTTAGAAGATTCAACAAAATGATTCTATATAATGACATCGAAGCAATATGCGTGGTTTTGCATAACGTTCTGTCAATAAACAATTCTTATAGTCTTATTGCTTCACTGTGGTGTACTGATTTGTCTTAAAGCTATAAATATTGAAGCATATACCGACCAGTCTATTTGCTGACAAAGATTAAAATTTCATGGTCATATTTAGATTGATGCAGATATTTGATAACTTGTGTTATAAACATATTTCTGTTTTGAGGACAAATAAATAACATTAAAATACATTTCGACAAACAGAGCATATTTTATACTCGACAATACCCCTTCAACAAGTGTGACGTTGTCAGTATTTGTTTAACTTCTGACAGATTTTGAAAACTCCATTTCGCCCGAGCCGTTATGTAAGGCCGTATTTCAGCACTTTTAATTAAGCGTTTACCAGCAACATATTTTTCATGAAGTTACTAATGTAAGATATCAATAATAGACTTGAGTGGTTGACTCCACGCATGGTTTTGGTATTGTTTAAAAGCAAATGCATAGTTTACACAAACATAAGAATCATAAGAAAGTGCACTTCTTACTGAATCACTGTTCTGTATAGATGGGACTTCTTTTGGCAATGGCATTGACCGAAATACTAGTATATCCTTGAAAATTAGAAACTGTTTCATGTGGTTTGTGCTAGAGAGATATTGTCAAGTTTAACATATCTGCACTCTACTGGCCTAAACGGTGCTCATTACTAACCATCACTGAATATTATATCATCGACCTAGAAGAGTAATTAAATAAACGGGATAATTTTATGTTTTTTACTGAATTGAGTAACCACTTAACACTTGCTGTTATTAGTTTAAATGTCTAAAGAAGGAAGATCTGTCAGTAGAAACAACAAAGAAAAGACTCTTCAAATCTTACTTGTGTCACATAATACTCCATATATTTTCGGAGGACATTGACAGTGAAATCCATTGACCCTGTCTTCACAAGTAGCATTGTTCTTGCACGGGGAGCTCTCGCATTCGTTTATGTCTAAAATGATAATTGTACGTTGCATGTTGCATAAAACAGTTTAATTTTGAAATGGTACAGTTTACTGTGTGTTTAACACTTTTATGCTTTTCTTATTAGTCGTTTTAAATTCTGAAATTAAATACATATTCTAAAGTAATTTTGATTAATTTTATATTAATTATCTAATGGATTAAGATGACAATAAAATTGTAACATTATCGTATGTTGATTTTTCCCACATTACACAATGCAACATTATACTAGGATCGTATCAATCCGATCATTTAAAAATGCGTTTGTTCCTTTAACAATTATGATGTAATGGTTAAAGGTTAATGCATTTTACTATCTTTTTCTTTTCTTTTGCTATTATGATGATTAGTTCTAAAACAACACATTTCCTTTGCTTCGGCAAGTTACGTACCTATTTCACAAAGTCTTCCTGTAAATCCATCTGCGCAATTACATTTACCTTCTTTCAAGCATGTACCGCCATGTTGACATAGAAGAGATGTCACTCTCTGCAACAAAAAAACAACAACAACAAAACAATTATGATTTGTTCCTTAAAGGCACATTATGCCTCAGAAAAAATAGATTGTTAGTTTTCAAAAAGAGAAAAAAATGATTGTTTGAATGTTTAAATAATTGTTTTGGAAAATGTTGGATGCGTGTTAGCTGAAGAAAGTAGCAATTACTGTGTAATAACTTATCATAAATGTAGCAAAATGTAAACAAAGAAGTATTTTGGCTTTGTACCTATAAACAATACTTTTTCACTATGCATTAAACTATCTTATTGCCAAAAAGCAAACGATGAAAAAAATGACCAATGAGTAACATTATTGATACTGTAAATATACATCAAAATTAACAGCTTTAATTTGTGCAATAACCTCAAAAGCATTTCTGAGGGGTAACGGGTCTTTTATAAATAGAACCATTCTATTGATCTGTTTTTCACCTTTTTTTGTAAAATTGTCTCAAATCATTTTATTGTATCACTATAGGGACGGACATTTCAAAGACATAATGTGTCAAACGTGTGTGATATCTTTGACCGTAAAAATACATTTGACTTGCGTGGCATACTCATTTGCTCAATGAAAGAAACGGTTATGCCGCATTGTGATTAAAGACAATAAAACTACATATTATAATATCACCATAAGCACCACCACAACCATAGTAATCATCATCGCTGAAGTCAATGAACAGTAAGACATATATTTCAGGTTTTTAGGCGTCCATCTTCAAGGAGTCGCAACAAGATGACCATCGTCATCATCGTCGCAATCATTGTATTTTTAATCATCAAGACCATTATCAACATCATAATAAATTTGATAATAAAGACCCATTATCATCTTTCTAATAGGCAGCAGCATAACGGCTTCCAACACCATAATCATAATTATTTTCACAAGCAATATAATGCTCATTGTGACTGCCTAATTCGTTACCTATAACAAACATCTTGTTTTTATTTGCTGAGGGTAAACATGACAGAAAGACATACATACATACATAGAAGAATGAATGTAATTACATTATGCTCCTTTCGTGATGATGATTACAATCGCAATGCTCCTGGTATTGATGATAAGTAGGATGGTAGTAAAGACTATGGTCATTATAATCATTGTGATGATGATGATGGTAGTTATGGTGGTAGTGGTGATAATGATAATGGTTACAACAGCGACGTTCTAATGCTGATGATTATGATGGTGATGACGGAAACGGTAATGCTGATGATAATGTTATTATTATGTCAGTCATAAAAACTTTGTAGTATTATTGAGATGTTCAATAAAATGTTCTTGTTAACAAATATTCGCTTTCAAAACTGATGACAAATGTGATGCAGTACATTCATATTGTACCAAATTCGATAATACAAGTGTTATTTTCAATCATTCGACCTGTGACGAACTAGAATACGACGTAACGGAGCCCATTTAAAACTTTCAGCCCTTGTTTTTTATATCTGGTATGTGTCTTATAATACTTCTGTTCAATACAGCAATCGACCCAGTTATATAACTCCTAGCCCTACACTAAATACGTATGTATATGAGTAAAAGGAATAAAGCCTATATCTTAAAAAAGATAATGAAATTATTACGGAACATGGGTCGTGCTCTGAGTCGCATTTGTTCTCTCTATTTTCATAACAGCAATCTTTGGTTGGTTTTCTCCCATACGTCAAGAATGTTTTAGCATTTTGTTCTGGTAGTGCAAAGTAACAATGATTAGACGTTTCTATTCCTGAAATAATACAATCGTAAGAAAGGTTATTATCTTGAGTATTTCTACTCCTTACACTTAAATCTATTATGACAAAAAAAAGATATATTTGTTATATTTTACATATATTTCGTAAAAAAGTCCAATTTTGTATCACGTGAAAATAGAAAATAATTCCATGTATTGCCAACTCTTTTTTAACACCTTGATAAAATTATTGTTTAATACTGGATATGATACAATGTGATTAATTACACCTAAGATATCTTGTAGAATTCTCAATATTTTTTTCTTCATTTCAGTATCTTTTTCTGTTCAACACGTTGCGTCTATCAGTCTATGCGAAATTACTAAAATTTCTAGATATTTATCATATTTGGAAGTTTCTTTTATCTTATATTTACTCTTTACCTTAAAACATGCTTACACTTATCATAACAGTAATGGCAGCAGACAAAACTTAATATTTGTCGACAGCAAAGTTCTGATAACAAAAAAAAATATGCAATTATGAACTGCAGAAAAAAGTGTTATAGAATTTTAAATCATAATGCTTAATTTAGCTCACCTTGAAGAAGGGAAAACAAAATAAGCAAACTAGTTCCAAACTTCGTCATGACATATCCCTTTTATATTTTATCATAAAAATCTTGTGTGAGGGTGAAGTTTCTTATCTTTTATCGTTTCAACAAAAATACTGACACAAGTGACGCACTCGACAATATCCTAGATATAACTACATTTTTCAATTTTTTATCTTTCACCTTACATCTCTGTCTTCTCCAAATATTGATATTTGCTAATATTCAAATTTATACTTCCGTATTGAAAAGAGTTTTGCTATCTACGAAGTTATCTTGTATATTAAACAGTTGCGAAAATGTTTAAACGCTTTGAATGAAGATTGAGCTGTAAATAAAAAGGATCAAATCCAAAGAAACGTTTAATTTCTTATCAGGCGCATTTGAAAGTTTCTATTCAGACTATGTCATTGAGGAAAAGTATTTCTTACCCAATGATGTTTCATTTCATGAATGGCCATATCTATACTGCAACATACATTTAAAGATATTAATTTATATATAGAGTTTTATATGTAGAAATGTGAGACATTTACTATATTTATAACGAAACAAATCATCAGGAAAACCCTGGCATAATATATATTAAGCAATGCAAATTATCGGAATGTTATTGAAAATAACATGTGATAACATTTTTAGATATCCGGGAAGCTTTAAAACCCTGTTGAATGATTGTTTGATTTAATAGATAAAGTACACGTTTAAAAAAAGTGAAAAGCCGCACGAAATCGTTAAAAAATCATTGTCCCCCCAAAATACCATGCCTAGCTTGCCTGTCATTTTAGAGCAATGTTCTTTATGTGTTTAATCTGATACATTTTCTTTTAAACCAGTTCTAAAGAAATTTATTTGAATATTGAAACAATGAATTCTTGTTATTAGATAACATGAAACGAGAAGGGACATCAAGAAATCAAGAAAGATCATGGCCACTTTTAACCCATTACTTCATGAGCATTTTGTGGAAAATTGCTGTTTCCATTAAAAAGTTCAAATTGATATAAAACTATAAAAACTGCTTCAAACTTGGCACAGATGTTGACTGGACCATTGCCTTTGTAACAACATGCCGCAGACTTAAATTTCCTGTTACCATGGCAACGAAGGAACATCTCAAAATTGCCAAAAATCACTATTTTGCGTTGACTTTTTCCATCAAAATTGATTTTTAAGTGCTGCAACTTCTTAATAGATTGAGATAAAGTCAAATGCTTTTCAGCGTTAGTTACACGTTACCTTATGATCGATCTGGGGTAAGTTTTAGCCCCTCATAAGTCCAAAATTTTCTTCGCGATGAGGGGGACTGTTTTATTATTCAATTAAATGTTTCATTGATTTTTAAAATATAACTGAACATTTTCTCTAAGAATAACAAATGCTGTCCGGTTTCTTGTATAATAATGTATAAGCAACATATGTTTAAAACAAAAACTACGCTCCTTTTAATACAATTTGACATTACTGCAGTTAGGAAAATTGTAACAAAGGAGGAGAAATGAGAACATACTTTAATTATTATCAAATCTTTCCTAATCAAGTTTGATTAAATTTAAACGTGTGTTATCAACAGCGACTAAGTAACGATACACATGACACATAGCATGGCAATTGTGCCTCTTTTCATTATACCATTCTACATTTTAAATCAATATTTTATCATGATACTCTGAGTCTTTAAATATTAGCATTTGCAATTATTGGAACAAATATGTGTTGTTAAGATTCTAACACTTCAAAAATACTTTATTTAGAACTTTCGTCCTTTTTTCATTCAGCCAAAAGGCTCAGTGCAAAGGAATTTGAATGCATTGACTTTTTTCTTTTAATTAGTTTTCAAATTAAAGTTATTGCATTTTCAGCATTGCTTTTCTCTAAACAGCATTGTCAATGACAGAATAGTCAGCAAAAATAAAATTAATTTACCATATGGGGAAAATCTTTAAAAGAAGTCTCGTCATTGAAAAAATTTGGCATCATAATTTGATAATTTTCACTGTTAAATTATCAAATATAATTTTCACAGTTAAATCAGTAATCCACTCAAAATAATACGAATATACTAAAACATGTTTAACTATTAACACATTTATATTGCAACAATGTTTCTAAAATTCAACCAATACAATGAAAATGTACTGCTGTATTTACATGTATAATAGCATGTCAAGTAAAATGTAATGCTTTTTAAGTTCAGCAGAACTGAATTAAACACATTGCTCATATGTCTTCAAGTGTAAACATATGAACCCCTTTTAAGAAATTATCCGTGAAAGAACCCGAGTTAAAGATCTTATTATCTATAGCACTTACGTAATAAAAAGTACCAAAATACGTTTTAATGATAAAAAGACAAGTAATGGTTTCCCACATGGAAAATCCTGACTGACAGTTTTCTGATAACGGAATTAAAACCATTGATATAGTTCAGTACAAATCAGTTTGTCAATATCGTGCGATGGAAAAAGGGAGTTTGAGAAGAAACTTTTCTTGGTAAGACCCTTTTTTAACATCTGATATAATGATGATGACGATGAATTAATTAGCATTATTTTGTTTTTATAAAAACATATTGATAAATTAAGTTTTGCGCTGTTGTAGATACTGTTATTACAGCTAAAATTAAAATCATTCGAGACGTAACTAACACGTTGCACTCATAAAAATTGTATGATAATAATCTCATGATAATGATAATAATTTGTAAATACACAATGTACAATGATATAGATGAAGGTCCGGTTAAATTCTTTTATCTTAATGGATCAAAGCACAAATAGTAGTTAAGATAATCTTGATCTTGATAGACTTGAATCTTGTTTGTTGGCATGAGAGTTTTGCAAATTTGATTACCACTAATGAACATTTGTATTTGTGTCTGTCTAACGCCAATTTAAACACATTTGTGGTCGTATCTTGGCGGTCGATCTACCTGGATAACTAACCAGCAAAAACCAATTTTTTCGCAAGTGACCGACTAGTTATCCGACAATATCAGTGGTAACCGAGATCTGTTGAAACTGAAAATATTTGCTCTGAGAATCGGATTAGAGGCCTATCCATTTCAAACAAAATGCTCTCCCAATTTAGCTAAGGGGATGGACTAAGCCCATCGGATGATCAGAGTCAATTAAACTAATTCCGCAATTCTTATGTTGAGTATATTATATGCCGCATTATGTAGGAACGTTACATGTTGTTTAGATGTTTATAAGAGTATTGATTTCGAAACAGTTACGAATAACGTATAGATGAACATTGAGTGATTCATTGCAAAACATGCTCGGTTGAAAGATTGTCTTTGTTCCTGTTTTTTATATCCATAAAATATAGATAACACTGAGCAAAGAAGTGTTCGTATGATCTATCACTTTTGAAAAATAAACTTGCCTTTCTAGCGGTTTCACTTGATTATCACGATTAATTATTGATTGGTAGATAAACCCAATGTTCCTCGTTCGTAATAATGAAATAGCAAATAATTTTATGATTCTCTCATATAACAGTTAATCTATTTCTCTCATTATTGTATAACAGTTATTTGTTTTATTTTCAGATACATAAAATGGCTGATGTGTGTTGCTCTGTGTAACTATGGGTAGCAGGTGTTACTCTTTTCACCACAAGTGTTGTATTTGACTTGAAAAACTTCCACGAACTCCGTGAAAATGATGAACAAATAGAATCAACCGGAAAAAAATCTTGTGATTTTGCACTAAATGAGTATCACAAAATTTTCTTGGCATCTGTGATATGTAAAGTGGGTTTTGGATTGTTAGAGTATATATTTGGTGCATTATCGTTGCATGATAATGCATTTTCCACTTTATCCTTGGTCTGCAACACGATAACGACCTTCTTCCAAGCCCTGGATTTGCTTCTCCTAGTACTGTTTTCATATTGTTGTCTAGATGATGACCAAATTCACCATGTTCATGTTTAAGCATTTATCAGCGATGAAAAAGATGACTTTGTTGCAGGCATATTAGGAACAGCTGGAATCATGTTCAATCTTGCGATAAAAAAGAATATATTGACTGTGTTAAAGGCTATATGCTCTGATGATGCCAGTAAATTGCACAAAAGGTTATCATGTACATCTTTGTTCTTTATCTTTGTTTGTTTTGGACTAGCAATTGCTTTGCTCCGAAAATTATTCTGATTATTTACATTTAAAATAAAATATTATTTTGATTATTTATATTTCATTAATATTTGGTAAAATCTTCTGTTGATAAAGGCTGTTTTGTTCATGTAGTCTAAATTGAGTGTCTTAAACTTTTCCTAAGAATTGTGATAAAGTTGTAAAAAAGTGGGTTGATAATTATACAAGGACTTTAACAAGCATGTTATCATTTAATATTTAAATAACGTAGTGTTATTGTTTGTGTCTGATGTTGTTTCTGTAAGGAAATTATTTGCAGATATATTTGTCACTCAGGTGTTTCGAATACAAAATTGATCATTAAATCGACTTTGGTGCAGAACGAATAAGACGAAGTGCTGCCTTGTAAAGGGATAGATTGACCTGATTAATTATGTTGTAAATTCAATAAATAAGTACTAAAGTTATCTACGAAATTGCATTTCATCATGCTATATTTTAATGAACCATGTCAGTATCAGTGTTTTTAGCAATGAATTATCTTAAGTTAACAGTAGATGCGGCTTAATATGGTAGTGTTGACGTTTACAAATGCAACATAACACATGTTCATTTATTGAGTATTTATTCATGAGGGATAGTGAAATTTGGAATATCTGTTACGCACTTTTAACGTCTCAAGCAGTAGTCGATCGTATTTAAAATAACAGCTAGGACCAATCACATCGAAGCATACAAAGACTCATTATGCCTAAGACATGATTTAACTTTATTTATCATAATCTTTGAATTTTATAATTGGTATTCAAATCAATTTTTGTCTCACGATACAACTTATATTCTGGAAGATCAAAAAACAAACAGAAAAATATTCTGCACATCTATACCAGTAGCAAAATTCTTGCACTGGGAATTGTCACATTGATTTAAATTGTAAAGTTACAACTGAAAAGAACTACAGTTATCTATTTACAGCTTAATTTTTGACACTAACTTATAATATTGAACGCAAAATTTAAAATTGAAATAAGAAAAACAAAGACACAAATTTTATACTAACATGACTTGTGATTGTTTTACTATACACAAAGAAGAATATAACCAGTGTTAAACTGCCAATAAACACCGTTCAGTACTAAACTGCCGATGGATTCTGTACAAACAACATAAAGTTGAAGAATATTGTTACAAAATATTAGTAAAACATATTCATTCTTTGAAAAATCACAAACAAAAAGATCACTATAGTCTACCCGGCGCGTGTCGGTGACGCCATCAAAGACTCTTGTCGTGTTGTTGATTTGAAAACAAAATAGATTTTCAAATGACTTAAAAAATTTTAAAATCGTCATTCGCTTATTAAACTTTATCGAGTCTTTGGTACACGGTTTTAACACTTTTATCTCTGTTTTATTAAAACATTATAGAACTAACACATGTCGCAAAATCAGCGTGTGTCACATCTGCGTTAACACGGACAAAGAACCGCACGGTCCGCTTACAATATTAGGTAAAATATATAATAAATAAATAATTTGAAATAAATATTTAGATTGATAACTGTATGATTGATTATATATTAACCACCTCTCTTTAAGCAACAGCAAAAGTCTACGTTTTTAAAGGTCAGCTCTCGTTTATCAATAACAAAACATGAGGAAATTCAAGACAATTTGTATAAAAAATATTCAAGGTAAATTATAAAAGAAATATTACTATATGGGCAGCTGTAGAACCTTATTGTCATTTACAATTGTATATTCAAAATACTCTGTCTACCAATATACATGGATATGAAAATTAGAGATTTAATAAATCAAGACATAACTTGTTTTTAGTGTCATTTAATACTATAGGACGGAATTTTACACACAAAAAATCCAGATCGATTATTATCTCTAAGATATTGAAATAATCACAATCTGATGATAAATTACACGAGATTTGACTATCTATTTGCCGACGGGTTTGGATTATATTTCGATAAAAAAATCATGAGCAAACAAAACTTGTTATCAGTTATCTCCTAGTTTTACATAAATCAGGTAATCTACAACAATTTCTGTAAAAGGAAGTATTTTCAGCAGTTTAAACATTTTACGTAACATTCTTTCATCTCTAGGAAAGCTATCTTAAATAATAAATAGGATATATAAAGCAAGTTTAACATAAAGATTGAAAGAAAAAAAACATATCAAACGGGATAAAATAAAAATATAAACATATCAGCTTTGAATTATCTTATCAGTTCAAATGTTCATTTTCATTTTAAGTTATTGACTGGGAGTGAAACATAAATATTACATTTGGCTGTTTAAAACGGTCGACGAAATTTTACATTTTAAAAGGTCTCGTCTTTGTTTTATATCTGATTGATGTTACAAATATTGAATACAATTTAGATTACAAATTGATCAAGTTAGTCAATATCAGCTCTAAGGAAAACTGGATTTGTAGAAGTTTCGTTTCATTTCAAACAAGCAAAATAATGAGCTTTGAAGTAAACACTTTCATGATCAAATAATCATTAATTTAGATAAAATATTTACTGATACCAATAAGACACACGTTGCACATCGTAAAGTACGACGTTGAGTTTCATACCCCTGTAAGATTACATTTGCTGTAAACAAATTCAGATTGCAAAACGTCTAGATTGTTCATTGGCAAGTCATGACTAGTAACAAAAACATTAAACCTATCTGTAACAAGCTTGATTAACCCGTTCATGTCAACGTCTTCTCCACTGCCAACGGCCACAATATTTACTCCGTCGGCTTCTAGCTTAGATTTCTCACTTTCAAAAGTGCTTTCGCTGTTCACATGAGCTTTACCATTAGTGAAAATTAGGAGGAGTTTCTTTGCAATCCTCATTGAAAATGTTTTGTTGAAAATTTTATCCCTGACATATGCAAAAACGGTCTCAAGATGTAATTGTGCTTGATGTTCATCAGGCGACTTTGAGACCATGTTAACCTTACTTTTAATGACATTTTTGTTGAACGTCTCTCCCATATTCATTATATTTTTGATGTCATCAGAAAATGTGGTCACACTAACATGTGTATCATTTACGTTTAAATGGTTCATAGTGTCAATTATATGCATAATAGCGTCTACCATTAAAGTGAACTGTTCTGCTGTTATATAATAAGATGAATCTAAAAAGATAGCTACGTCTGTCGCCATGCTTGTTTTACATTCTGAAAAGATATATATATTCTTAAATAAAAACATTAGTCTTGTGAATGTCAAAATTGTTTTCAACTGCATAATTGTAACAATAAGCAAAAGTTTATGTCAAAATATTCAGATTATTTTGTAAGCCATTCAAGATAAGGTTGTTAGCTTATTATATTTTTCAGGTTTAAACAATAAAAGAATGCTTACCATCACACAACTGAACCAGCTGCCTGAGAACGGTGTACAAAGAGTTGAAATTTTTAACAGAGTAAACAAACGATGGATCGGAGGCAATGTCCAAAAGTTCTTGATGTAAAACTTCATTTCCTATTCCTGAAATAATATATTTAAAATTGGCATAATGTATACAAAAGTGAAGATAATTTTTTATACGAATTCTCTATAAGACTCATTATTTTTGTTGTTGTGTGTGGTTTTTGGTTATTTTTATTTTTCAAAGCAGAAGTTAAGAAACATTTTAACTGACACAGAGATCGTTTTCTCTTATATTTTTGCTATATTTTTTTCTTACCAATGGCTGCAATTGTATCGACGTATTTCTTCAATTCACTAGCCTCGTTTCTAGTGTCGGCCCTGTTTATAGACATGCCGTCTGTAAGGACATAAACAAATCTCGCAACTTTTGTATCATTTTTACGTATTCCGATGCCATGACCTGCCGTGAATACTTCTGTTCTAACCTAGTGAAATATTTATTATCAATAGGAGATAAATGATAAAGATATCTACATACAAAATTGTTAAAAAATAATTTGGCGCGTATATTTTATTGATTTGATTTGGGTGCATGTTAAATTCCAATATTAGTTTAATTGAAAATGGTTAAATAATAAAATCGATTTATTGAAATAAAATAACAATTTCAATAAATTATTTATTTACCGCTTTCAGACCTTTGTCGGTACGCGTTGTCCCACGTTTATACTTGACTTTCATTATAGCGTCATGGAGTGACACGTTGTCTTTATACTGGTTAAGATAAAACTCTACATGTGCATTAGTTGAAAATGTTACTACACTAATTTGGAAGTCGTGTGGTCCAATAGGAACTTTACTGCTAAAATTAGCAACAAATTCCAGCTGTTTATTAAATTCCTGTCTTGTCATGCTCACAGATGAATCTAAAACAAAGACGACGTCTGCCGGAGAAGGATGACAGATATCTGTAAAATATTGACATACACTATTACAATACAAAAGACGACTTCTGTAGCAGTAGGGTGACAGATATCTGTAAAACATTGACATACACTATTACAATACAAAAGACGACTTCTGACGAAGTAGGATGACAGATGTCTGTAAAAGATTGACATAAATTGTTACAATAAGGCAAAGTCAATGTCTGTCGCAATCTGATATCTGTAGAACATTTACATAGACTATTACAATACAAAAGACGACTTCTGACGGAGGATGACAGATGTCTGTATAATATAAGCATTGATTTTTACAATATTTCGTAAAGAGGAATTGACTCGATAGGCATAGATTTTTTCAAGAAAACTATATTTCTAACTAATAATATATGTATTTATCTACCGTTTAACGACATCATTGGTGTACTTGAAGTTTATCTATCCGAAATTCTAAGTTAATATATCTTTTCTTTAACTAAAACAATTCCAAACTACTTTATGATTAAATTAAAAATTCAA